GCTGCCTGGCTTACCATTGCTGCTCCCAGTAAAGTGCGGGATGGCAGAGAAACGGAGGGATGGGCCACTAAAGAAAGACACAAGAACTGGAGGAGTTTGGAGTTCAGCCTTTCCTTGCAGCCCACAATAGTGAAATGAAGAAATGAGTTCCAAGCACTGCTGGGCAGAGTGAGCATAACGCAGAAAGCTGGTGGTGTGACTGTGCCATCGCCTGGAGAAGCCTCGGGAAGAGCAAAGCATCCATGTGGCATTTTCAGGAGGCCGAGGCCAAGGCCAAGTGTGGGTCTCACGGGTCCTCTCAGCCACACCCGAGGGCCTGGAGCAAGTTAGAAGGTGTTGTCCCCCAGGCATCTCCCCATTCCCCTAGGTAGAGAGGCACCTGTTTCCAAAACACCTTTGAGTGTGGCTTTTCCTTAATGTAGTGAAATCCCAGGAAATCCTTGGAAGACCCAGAAAGTGTTTCAGAAAGTTTTTTCTCAGCAGAAGTTCCACCAGCTTAGACAGAAAGAAGAAAGAACCTGGTTATATAACAGCACAAAGCTTCCAAAACTCCTGCCCGGAGTAACAGAGAGAGAACATGTAAGTGTGAAGTGAGTCACACGGGTGAGGGCACTCTCAGTCTCAGTGCTGAAGGTGCGGCCTGGGGGATTCTTGCTGCTTCCAGCACAATGTGGGATGAAAGAGGAAACCCAAGGGTTTAACTGTTAGACAAAAGGACAGACACAGCACAAAAACCAGGTTGTTCAAAGTGCAACCCAGAGGCAGGAAGGAGGCCTAAATACTACTCAGCCAAGAGAAAGGCACCTTTGTGAGACAGGCAGGCGGTCTCAGAGCAGATCTAGATGCCAGGCAGGCAGAGCCAAGCACCCCAGGGCACCACGCTCAGCCTTGACACTTACAAGTCCCCACTCCTCTTGGCTGTGATTCCTTTGCAACTTCATTTCTCCGCCCATGCTGAACAGACATCCTTTGCCTGGCCCACCGTTGTAGGTGAGGTGTGTCCGCGGCACGGACCTGTCCTCTGGCGGTGTGTCCGCGGCATGGACCTGTCCTCTGGTGGTAGAAACTCATAGACCAGGAAGAACTAGAGCCAGTCAGCATCATCCGCTTCTGGGCCTGATGCAAGTGATAAGGTCCTGGGCTTTGGGTCTTAATGGGATTCAGACTTTTGGAGGAACTTGGAGACGCGTGTGATGCACTTTGCATGCACGGGGCGTGTGGATCATTGGGAACAGAGAATCAACTTGGGCAGACAGATTCTAAAGTGACTCCAATGGTCCCTGAGACCCCTGCCCCACGTCATCCCCTCCTCTTGCATGTGGACAAGGCCTGTGACCTACTTCTTTTTAAAATACTTATTATTTTAAAAATGTATTTGAAAGGCAGGAAGGGGGGCCAGAGAGAGAGAGAGAGAGAGAGAGAAAGAAGACAGAAAAAGGTCTTCCACCTGCCAGTTCACTTCGCAAATGCTGGTCCAGATTGAAGCCAGGAGCCTAGAACCGTCTGGGTCTCCCACATGGGCAGTAAGGACCTCCACATCCGAGCCATCACTGCTGCCTCCCAGCACGCACAGCAGCAGGAAGCTGAAGCTGGAAGGCCAGCCAGGGCTTGAACCCAGGCACTGTGATGGGGGTACAGGTGTCTCACGTGGGCTCTTAGTGCTGTGTCAAATATTTGCCCATGGCAAGTTACTTCTACAATCGTGCTGTAGAAGACTGCGATGGTTATCTCGCCAGGAGACTCTGTTCCTGGCTGGACTTGAGGAAGCAAGAAACTGAGGCAGTCTCTGGGTAACAACTTAAGAAGAAACCAAGTCCTCAGTCTGACAGCACGCAAGGCACTGAACGCTGATCACAACCGTGTGACCTTGGAAACGAGTCCTTCCCCAGCTGGGTATTAAATGAGACCACATCTCTGGCCGATGCCTTCGTCACAGCCCGCTGAGGACCCTGGTTAGCCATGAAGGAAGTCCTGACCCCTGGAGATTGTCAGATGGATAAAGGAGTGTGGCGCTGAGCCACTGTGTGTGGGACGACTGACACAGCACACGGGAACACTGACACAGATAACAAGACTGCGTCTTTTTAATGTTTACCCAGAGGCCTGTTTCTTCCTATTTGTTGTGGCCTCTTTGGGAATCCCTGCTCTTACCCAACTCTTGCTACGCAAGAAATTTCAGAACACAACAACCAAATGTCTCTATATTCCAAAGCACATGGGAAAGTAATTTGGACAGCTGTTATTTCAGAAAACAATAATGGAAGTGCTGCTGAGGTTTCTGTAGCAGCTAAACTCTCACCAAATTGTTCTACACACGGGAGACTTCTTCCCGTCACAAAGTCACTAATTCTAATCCTGATATGCATTTACAGACTGCTGTGTGCGAACGGGTTCCTTCACCTGTGACTCCTCTGAATTTCTGTAGGATTGATGGCAATGATTATATTCATCATCCCGAATGTCTGGCCCATGGTCTTTGGTATTCTCCTGTGAAGACCAAGGTCTGGTTCCTATATTCTTGTGTTTAGTCCTAACTGTCTACGTTGTTGGGATCAGGTTGGGTTCACCCTCTGTATCAGTAGGTGGCGAGAACTCCCACGCAACATGGTAAGGAAATATAAGAACCTCCTGCTTGGGAAGACCAGTGAGGAGACATTGGGAAGCTCTATTTTCCTTAATCTCTTGGTAGCTATCAGAAAGACTATTGGATAGTGGCCGGTGCCGCAGCTCAATAGGCTAATCCTCCGCCTACGGCGCCAGCACACTGGGTTCTAGTACCAGTCGGGGCGGCAGATTCTGTCCCGGTTGCCCCTCTTCCAGTCCAGCTCTCTGCTGTGGCCCAGGAGTGCAGTGGAGAATGGCCCAAGTGCTTGGGCCCTGCACCCCATGGGAGACCAGGAGAAGCACCTGGCTCCTGGCTTCGGATCAGAGCAATGCGCCGGCCGCAGCGCGCCAACCGCAGCGGCCATTGGAGGGTGAACCAATGGCAAAAGGAAGACCTTTCTCTCTGTCTCTCTCTCTCTCTCACTGTCCACTCCGCCTGTCAAAAAAATTTTTTTAAAAATTAAAAAATTAAAAAAAAGACTATTAGATAGTGAGGATTCAATTTTTTTTTTTTTTTTGACAGGCAGAGTGGACAGTGAGAGAGAAAGAGACAGAGAGAAAGGTCTTCCTTTGCTGTTGGTTCACCCTCCAATGGCAGCGCACCACGCTGAACCAAAGGCTGGAGCCAGGTGCTTCTCCTGGTCTCCCATGGGGTGCAGGGCCCAAGCACTTGGGCCATCCTCCACTGCACTCCCTGGCCACAGCAGAGAGCTGGCCTGGAAGAGGGGCAACTGGGACAGAATATGGCGCCTTGACCGGGACTAGAACCTGGTGTACCGGTGCTGCAGGCAGAGGATTAGCCTATTGAGCCGCGGCGCTGGTGAGGAGTCAATTTTATATACACAAAAATCTCTCACAGTTTCTGTTCTTATCATCCATTTCTTTATTATTCAATTTCAATTATTTCTTCATTGTGAAAGGACTTAAGTAGTTCAAATTAATGCTTCCTCTGTCAAAAATAAATAAATACAATACACTTGAGTCCCCCAATGCTTTCGTCCTTTTCCCCCAAGCTTTTCCTGAAACTGTAGCTTTACAAACAATAGATGTGGGACACAGAGCCTATGTGTGGTAGCCACAAAGTCAAACAGCCTCTCCCTTCCTGGGTGCCCTGCCAGGGCAAGGCGGTGGTTTGTGGTAGTGACTCACATCTAGGAAGGCTTTGCACAGGGGAGAGTGACTTTGTCTGAATGACCCACATCACGTGACAGCACGCCACACTTACAAACTTCCAGCCGATTTAAAATCTTATAGGGCTTTGAAAAAGCAGGGAGACAATTCCTCCATAATCGGCTTCCCCGCTTTTCATCTGGTGGAGAGAGAAGATGACAGATCTGCACGAGGTTGTCTCAGGGGACCACTTCAAACATGACAAATCCTGCTTTGGACAAAGCGTCTTCATTTCCCTCTTAGTCCAAAGGAATGGCATCTTAATTGGTAAGTGGGAAACACAGGCAAGGGGTGAGTCTCCCTCATTTCAGGTTGCACTAAACGCCTCTTACAGAACCATCCACATGGTCAGCCTGCCGGCTTTGCTTGCCTACATACTAATCACACAGCAAATACCTGCAACCAGTATTTTTATAAGAGGCTGCACTGAGCTTCTGCCAATGAACGTGTGCCTGTTACACTCCCATTAACAGGCACTGAAAGCTATTCAATAAGTTCAGGTCAATACAGTGAAAGCGTGGATCCTGAAACACCATGACACGGATCTACCGCAGTTCTCTCCCAGTAGTGACAGACTGGAATACACATTAAACTGAAAAGATTTTAGATCTTTAGATCTTGAAATCAAAACCGTAAGTCTAATTCCACACAAAGAAACAAATCAGTAAATCCCAGACTACGGTGAAAAGCCACCATGTATGGAAAGCTTAAAAACCACACAGGGCAGAATCCCTACTCTGGATTGGGCTACAGCTTCCTGGAGAGTGTTCATCAACAGATTGGTGTAGAAATAGACGCAAAACCCTGAGCTTGTGCCTATGCGCAACTCCTGCTGTCTCATTCAGTTCTGGTGGAAACCACAACTCCTGCCCAGTAGCATCCGGACCTAGGACCTCGGGGACTCTGGGGAACAGTGGCTCTCAAGAAAAACAACACCCATCCTCCAGCAGCCTCCCTTCCCAAGCCTACAGGTGCCAGCATAGGTGGCCTGGCGCCTTGGTCTCCGCATCTCAGTTGCTCGACTGAGCCAACCCAACCATGCGGCCCAGGATTCTGTCAACAGAGGCTTCGATCAAACTGAACGGATGTTAGAAAGAGACGAGGACGACCCAGCTCAGCGCAGAGGGATGCCGCAGATGAGCTAAGCTAAAGTCAGAGCTAAAACTGACAGCGCTGGGATGAGAGTGCGCCTGTGGGCAGGGATGTGGGAGCTGGGCGGCACGCACCTTTCCTCGCGGTTCTGTCCCACGCACACGCGGCCCCCGTGCCGGGGAGTGGGGTTGCTGCAGGACCGCTGCCGCACCTGGAAGCCAATCCCACAGCTGGTGCTGCAGGGCGACCACGAGGTCCAGGGGGTCCAGCCGCCGTTCCTGGGAGAGGAAAGAAACGCCATCACTCGTCAAACTGTCTGCACCTGCAGCCCGCACACGCATGCACGTGGTCCCCAAGGCCGCCTGCTGAGGAGAGGGAACCCCCGACAAGGACTGGGCGCACTGGGCCATGGAATCCCGATGGCTGTGGGCACCCCTTCCCATCCCAGGCACCTGATGTCAGAGCCAAGAAACTGGAGAATAAAGGTCCAGTGCACCATCAAACAGCATAAATGTGCTATATTAGAAATTACAGGTTGAGCATTGCTAACCCAAAAATCTGTAAGCCAAAATACTCCAGTATCAGAAATGTTCCAACTCATGTGATGAGTCATGGTTAGACTGCAAAACACACTACCTTCCCCTCAGGCACGTGAAACATACCTGAAATTGAGGCACAGACCCCATCCCCAAGATACACAATTATGGATATGCAAATATCTCAGGCTGAGAACACCTAAATTCTGGTCCCTAGGATTTCAGGTAAGGAAGTACTCAGTTATTAAAATATTAAACGAATATAGAATAATATTATTTCGCTGAAAATCATCAGAAATGAATCTCGAAATCTCTAGAGTTTATGATTTTTTGACTTGTATCCATTATAAGCTCTAAAAAGTGTGCCTTTGAATAAGATAACCATCTAACACTGTACAAGCTGCTCTAAGATCCGTTCACAACAGTCACTCTCCTGAGGTGCTCACATCAGCAAAGTCTTCCCTAATGCAGGAAGCTCTACAGCAAATTATATTACAAATGCAGGAAAGGCATTGAAGTTCAGATTCTCGCCTGTGTTCTTGGGAACTGGCAAAGCCATGTAAGAGCATGAATGAGGAGCTCAGAGTGTGTATACAAGTATAGATTTGTGCTACTGCACACGCACAATGTAGAAATATTTAAAATGAACCGATTGCACCACAGTGCTTTATAAACTAAACTGCTACTCAAAGGTAGAGGGATTCTTTCTTTTTAGTATTGTATTCGTTCCTTAAAAGGCCTGAATTCACAGCTTAGAAGTCAAATGTCTTATTTAGCAGTTTGTTCTTGCTGGTCAGAAATAAATTACGGGCCGTTTTAAAGGCATTAGATATTAAAATAGCTATTGCAGGTAGATTCAAAAGGCCCACATAAATGGTGAATATTTGTCTGCTTCAGAATTCACAAGTGAATTTCTAAGGATATCGGTACCTGCACTTACGGCATTTATATTTCTTTGAAAACAAGTTAACTCACTTTCATTCTCACATTTACTTTTTATATTCTTTTAAACAGGAAGGACCACCATACCACTGAAGATCTAGGTACAAATAACAAGTTGAATGTATAATTTCTAAAATAATTTCAAATGTAAATCATTCTAAAAAGTTATCAGCATAATTTGCATTTCTCTATTTAATTTACTGAAACTTTGTAATAACATAAATAAGATGCACAGTGACAGCTTTGTGTGTGTTAATAAAGCTGCTTCAGATAATTTAGCCAAAATAATCGCAAAGTGAGACAGATCCTCCCACATTTCTCATGAAGGTAATTAACTAGTACCTTGTAACCTGCTACCTACAACCTTAAAAAAAAATCATTCAATGTATCGAATTAATGAAAACCTTAAAAAGCAATGTTAGAATAAGCAAATGACATTTTTACTTTCAAAATTTCTTTATATGTGAACAGAAGTGTGAGATAATGCAGCAAATACTGATTTCAAAATTGTTTGGAAATTCTTCATTTCCCCAACTTTTAAACAGATACAGAAGTTCATGATATAGATTTTTTTTTTACCATATATAGAACGTGTTGTATACTGGGCAGTAAATAAATACAAGAATACCAGGGAAACTCCTTTGCAAAACGGAACTATAGGATATGTTCATTTTAATGCACTGTTGAAATCCAAGCTTAATTTCTTCATAATATTCATTTCTATTAACTATTAAAGTGCCTATAATATGCCTAGATTCCAAAATAAACCTCAAAATAAGCCCCTCTTAATTCCATCTTTCACAAACATTTTGAAATATCTCATAAAATGATGTATAGTAATAGGTATACTCTAAGGAGTTACCTAGACGCAATCTAACACGCCATGTATTTATTATAAGGACCTGGGGCGACACACTCTCCAGCGTGACCAGAGGCAGACACAGCAGCCAGCAGTGCTGTACAAAGTGCCATCTTGACGTGGTATCATTACGTGGGTCCCATGGATTTAAGTGGGCTCACAGCAATCCACTCATGCACCTGCAGCATCGCTGAAGTCGGCTCACTTGTTTGATTTTATCGGTCACCGCTGAGCAGCTCTGCTTGGAGAACGAGGCTCCGTCCAGCGCAAGAGCTGAAGAGGGATCAATGAGCAAGCCCCCGGACTGCACCACATGGTCCTTTTTTCCCATTAAACGATATAGAAATGAGTCTGGGCTAATTATTGTCATCAATGAACAGTAACAGTTTGGTAGGTTCTTACAGCTTCTACCAGGCATGACGGAAACAGATGGAAAGCAGTTAGCTGTGTGGGTTTGCAGTGTCTAACTCAACGGTGACACACCCGACTCTGATCGACCTCTGTGGCCCCAACAGGCTCCTCTCAACTTTGTGGTGCGATCCAGCCCGCCTGAGGAGACAGACCCGAGGGCACCCCGCCCCGCCCCGCCCAGCCACCAGAGAGCAGGTGAGGCAGGAGCTGACGGCTGTTTAAGGAGCTACCCGGACGCCTGCTTTTGGGATATGCATCCATGTGGTGACGTGCGGAGGCTCTGGGAAGCGGCAGGACCCGAGTACAGCGCTAACAGAAACACACAGACAGCACACTGCAGTGAGCAGAGGGACAGGCGACCTGCCCAGTGGGTCAAGTCCCCTGAGCTGTCCTGACTCCTCCATGTCCCCGCCGGCCGAGGGCTGGTGGGGTGAGCCCAGCGACACCACACAGTGGACTAACATGCTGTGTCCTCCCAGGCAGGCCTAGCAGCCTAATCTAGACAGAGTCTTCATGAACACGGGCATTTCCCTCAACCAAGCCATCGTGCTGGGTGAGCTACAAGCATTTCCTACCCTAACGATGGCCTGGAGGTAGCGTCTCACTGGCAGGGTCCTTCTGTCCTCCCACAGCTCTGCTCATTTTACATGGTGAGTGCCCTGTCTTTAGGAGGGGAAGCATGCGGCAGGAGTGGCTGTCCAACCCCCTGGACACTCGAGTTGAACCCAGGGCAGTGCATGGCAGGGCCGGGGGTGGGGGGAGTCGCTCCGATGACCACACCTGGAGCAGTTGGCGATTTCCACGCTGGGGCCCTCGCAGGGCCAGCCGCCACACTGCGGGGCCGGGCTGTCGCAGGCACGGGACCGACACAGGCAGGGTCCGACAGCACCGCCGTCCGTGTGTGTGCAGGGCATCCACGAGGACCACGCGCCAAAGTGTCCATCCACGGTGAGGTTCCTGGTCTAGGAAGCAGACACAGATGAGGCGGTCAGACAGGGTTAAAGCTATCAACATGATACAGTGTAAGTGGGCGATCTCTTAGGATGCACTCAGAACCTCTTGACAATACTCTTAATTACGGTGAGCAAGGGGTGTGTGAGGGTGTATTTCAAAGAGCAGCAGAAACCACTGAGAGACCTTGAGGGAGGAGGAGGAGGGGGGAGATGATGAAGAGGAGGCAGTAGTGTGCAAAAGCAGGGAAGAGGAGGCAGCGAGGAGGGGGAGAACAGTGGGATGAGAGGAGAGAGAGGAGCAGTCAGAGGTGGGGCGCTGGCAGGAGGAGGCATGGAGGATTCTAGTGACCGGGCTCAGGTCATAGCAGAATCATCCAGCGATGTGGGAAACCTGAGGAATGGGAAGAGTTGGAGTGAGAAGTCATAGAAAGACCATTCTGTTCCATGTCCATGTCCCTTTAAAAATGAGATTGGGGAAGCTGCCATCACTTGAGATCTCGGCTGGCTCTGAAGTCACCCCAAGCTGACGACATTTAATTCAAAACATATTTAAAGAATGGCCAGCGCCACGGCTCACTAGGCTAATCCTCCGCCTTGCGGCGCCGGCACACCGGGTTCTAGTCCTGGTCGGGGCGCCAGATTCTGTCCCAGTTGCTCCTCTTCCTATCCAGCTCTCTGCTGTGGCCTGGGAAGGTAGTGGAGGATGGCTCAAGTGCTTGGGCCCTGCACCCACATGGGAGACCAGGAGGAAGCACCTGGCTCCTGGCTTCGGATTGGCACAGCGCACCAGTCGTAGTGGCCATTTGAGGGGTGAATCAACAGAAAAGGAAGACCTTTCTGACTTTCTCTCAGTGTCTAACTCTGTCAAAAAAAAAAAAAAAAAAAAAGAATGTTGAGCAACTGCGGCCTCACAGTGGACAGGTGTATCCTGGTCACACCTACACAATCACCACTCCCCTAAGTTTGTGGCCAGCAAGGAAGCGCTTGATGCACAACCATGAGCACTTGTAAGACGTGATGCCGGGGCCGTGGGCAGAGCTGTGGGTGCCGAGCAGCAGATGCTGGGCAAGCTCAGGGTTCCGGGGAGAACAAGGGCCCGTGTTGCATCTCACAGGATGACACAGGAGCTGTCAGGGGCTGTTGAGGCCGAGGGTGGCTGGAAGAGTGACAAAAAGGAAGGAAGCTGCGAGATGCCATGGGGCGTGGGGCTACTCCATCACCGGGGAGGGAGCAGGTGGTGGACGGGAAGCAACATCAAGGACTGGGAGTAGAGTGCCAGGAGGGGCAGCCTGGGGAGGGCCCAGGGTGCTGGGGGTGTGGCCTGAAGGAAGGAGGGCAGGTGCTGGCACTGCCCGGGCACAGGTGACTCGTTCTGGTGTGGACGGGCATCTGCTTTGGGCATCAACACCTGGCTGACTGCCTGCCAGCCAGATCTGACATGCAGATCCTAGGAGCTGGGGGCTGGCCCCAGGAGGAGAGACTTGGGGTCAAGCCTTGGGTGACGCTGTGACAAGTGGGAAGCTCCCTGACGAAGGGGATTAGGGAATGGTCTAAAGTCCAAACCTGCTGATTCCAATGCAGGGACCCGAGCACCTCTTAGAAAATCCGACACAGGACGAGTCCTTGTAAGCTTCCACCCTCCCCTCTGCTGCCTGCGGCACCCGTCTCTTGGCCAGCATTCCCTTCCTGCACTGCTCAGCATCTTCAGGATAAACAACTCCATGGATGAGGCCAGCAAGTCTCTCAAACCACGCTGGCACGCCTGCACTTTGTGCGAGAAAATACAGGTCGGCTGCACGTGGAGCCGTCGCTCCTCAAAGTCAGCTGCACATCCAGTGTGTTCTTCTCCATTTCATCGCCATCCCCAACTGCCTCCATCACGACCAAGCCCTCCTACTTTGTAATCAACACCAACGTTCCAGGTCCACTAAGGGGGAAGAAGCTGTAAGCCACTCCGCCAGGTCATTGCCACAATCTTTATGGCAAAGCTGCCTCGACTGCTGGCACCCACCTGGGGTGTCAGGGTGCGGGGGACACCCAGAAGCAGATGTTTCCAAAAGAGAAAATACCCCCACTTCTAAGGACCCTGCAGCCCTCCGTCTGACCAATATAGGAATGCAGCTCCTGCTGTGACCACACGATTCTCTGGAGCACTGCAGGGTTTCTCAGAGCACTGAGCCCTGCAGGAGACAGGGACTCGGGACACTCACGGGATTCTGTTTCCATGGCAGCAAAGGTTCCACCACTTGGGATTTTCCATCTTTGTCCTATACGTTTCTAGCATTATTCTCTTTCCCCTGTCTGGAGGACGCTCCCACCAGCAGTTACTTCTCTGGGACACAACCCAGTAGCTGTGCTAACAACCCCCCACCTGCTCTCCCCCCATGCTCCTGCCTGCCACGTAAGCATCACTATTATGACATTCACGATAAAAAGCATGAGCCTCTCTCGTACTTGTGGACCCAACTCCAAGGAGCAGCACTGAGGCAGACTCTTAGTGTGCTATTTATGCAACGCCGGTGCACACTACGCCAGCGAATCACACGGGCCACTGCCGTCACGTTTCGGATGGCGGTGTGTCTGCAGCAGTGGACCCTGTAGAGCCGGCTGCCCTCCACTGTAGCAGATGTACTGTGAGCAGGGCTGAGAGAGGACCATGACCCTACCACCCACTCACCCCTAGGGGGCGCCTTCCCCAGCGTCACAGAGGACAGCCAGGCGTTCTCTGCCTTCCAGTGTGCAGGGAGGCTAAAGAAAGGCCCCCTGCATACCTGCACAGTGAGGGCAGAAGGGCCTGAGAGTGGGCAAGAGTCAGGTGGGTTCTGCAGAAAGAGTACTGAGCTCCATTTTGGGTTCACAGCGCAGTGTTGAAGAGAGGGAGCCAGCCTCTAGAACATGCCCACAGTGTCAGGAGAGGGGGGCCCCACAAGTGAGAAAACGTGAAATAGCAAGACCCTCAGGACGGAGCTGTGGTCCCAAAGATGACAGCGACAAATGAACGAAGACTGAAATAAAACCGCTCAGAGTTCGAATACACCTGCTTCTGCAAACATGCGTTTCCTCACCTGGAGGGAACCTCAGGACTCCAGCATCTGCAGTCCCACAGGCGGGCTCCAGCCTGGGCAGACAGGTTTCTTTTTGTTTGCTTGCTTTTTGTTCTTTTACAAAAGAAATCCTTCGAATGGAAAGGGTTGTGTTCATTAGGGCAACTACTCCCAGAGAGAGCAGGCATCTATGGTGGGCTGGGCTGGCACCACCACGCCCGTGAACAGGACAAGCCCAAGGCCAGGGGTTAAGTCCTGACTGGTCTGGGCCAGGGACAGCTGTACAGGTGGGAGGGCGATCCAGTTCTGGGCGCGGACGCTCCAGGAGCTGCCAGAGTTTCCACAAATCACTTTCCTCCACATACAAGGAGGAGACGCTTCTTCCACTCCTCAAGTCCATGGAGCTTTGGACATGTCATGTGAACATGTGATGTCTGGCATTCCTGTCGCCCTTTTGTGAGCAAGAGGAGAAGGCCAAGGGCGTCAGAGGCCTGCTCACCCAGCACCCTCCCCAAAACAGGCAGTGGAATAAGGCCTAGAACCGCTGCCGCCCAGTGCATCTAAGATGAAAATAGCCCTTTGCAAGGGGCTGTGTCTAGGGAATCCGAGTACTTTTAGGTAGATTCAGTATTAAGAACAACATCTTTATACTAGCTTTACAGAAAAAGCAAGTTAAGAGTTAAAGAAATGATGTCACTTGCCAAAGAAGACCACACTAGCGATTTGGAGGACAAACTAGCAATGCTGGTCTACCTGTGACACTAGGCTAGGATTTTACATCTTCGGTACTGCTGCTATCTGCCTGGAAATCACTTGCTATGGGGCTGTCTTGTGCATTTTACAGTCTGCAGTGACCTCCTTGGCCTCACTCCCTGGACGCCAGCACCCTCCCATGTCCAGTTGTCACAAGGACAAAGCTCTCCAGGCACTGCCCCCACCCCCACCCATCCCTGAGAGCCCTGGCAGGAGACTTTCCTTGCTTTTTGTTTTGGGCGCCTTTTATTCCTTTTGGTATGGGACACAGATACTATATATGTTGTCTTTCAAAATACAGGAGATGAGCTGACATGAATGACACAAAAAAACAGAGAAAGAACTTAGAAATAAGGCTAATGAAAAAGAGAAGAACGAGGCTGATAACGTAGAGCAGTAATGGTAATAAAACACTAGAAATGCAAGAAAGTGCGTTGAGGAAGTCATTAGTGAGAGCACGTGGTGGCTGTAATTCTGCAAGGCGAGGGTGGAAGTGTCATTTCTGGCTGGTGGTGACGTGGAGGGCAGTTAGGACTTCCAGCCCAGGGCCACTGCTGTTCGTCCCCTGCATTTGAGAGCAAGAAGGAAAGTATGGGAGAGGCTGGGTGAGGGCATACTGTGTTACATTTAACCACACCCTCATTTTGACCCTGCGTGAATTAATTTGAGAATCTGACTAGAACCACAGACTGTCGGCATCATGGCTCAGTAGATAAAGCGGCCGCCGGCAACACCAGCATCCCACATAGGCACCAGTTCAAGTCCCGGCTGCTCCACTTCCAAGGTAGCTCCCTGCGATGGCCTGGGAAAAGCAGTGGAAGATGGCCCAGGTGTTAAGGCTCCAGCCATCCACGTGGGAGACCTGGAAGAAGCTCCTGGCTCCTGGCTTTGGCCTGGTCCAGCCCAGCCTTGGCTGCTGCAGGCATCTGGGAGATGAACCGGTGAATAATAGGAGATCCCTCTCAGTAACTCTAACTTTCAAATAAATAAATAAATCTTTGAAAGTTGAACCATAAATAATAGCATTAGGGTGTGTAGTCTCTGTTTTCATGTAAGTAGGTATTTTATACTTTCTTAGCTTCTTAAATAGACATCAGAGATAAATCTATCTAGAATAAGTTATTTGTAGCTGTACCATTATCCAGGTTTCTGCCAGCTGACTTTCTCTTTGGGGCAAGTATATTATACTAATAAATATTAAACTATAGCAAAACATGATAACCACATGTCAGCAGCTTAGGATACACACAGCACTGCGGCTAACTCACAGAGCCCTCACCACATCCCTAGTATCTTCAACCCATTTTACAGATAGGAACACCATGGCTCAGGTTGGATAAGCAGTCACGCTCATTCTAAAAGACCCAAGAATCAGTCCAATGGAGCTGAGTCTACAGCCTTTGATGTCGGCCACCTTGACGGCCAGATCCTTTCCTGACGAGGAGCTCAAAGTCATCGTATGATTTTTGCTGCATTGTGTGGCATCCAGTTTTCCTTCACCTGGGAGATAACGGACATCCAAGTGATAACCAACTTATGATAAAAAGCATAATCCCAAATCCTGTGTTGAATTCATCTGTGTGCGATCCATGAAATCTCAATGGACTACAGACGTAGATGCGCTGGGGACGTACAGAGGTAGCGAGAGCACATCTTTTGTGTCTTCCTGGACCCCAGCCAAGATTGGCTTAGGACTAAATTGAAGTTCTATATTTTCTATTCAGGTTTTTTTTTTTTTTCAGAAGTTAAAATGCCTTCCTTTATTTTCAAAGTTCCATGTACCTTTTGCCAGAGATTTTAACAAAACCAGATCTTGGATAAGCTTGTCTCCCTGTGATAACATCAACTTGATAATCATCCCTACCCTATCCGCACAAATGACTCACAAGACAAAGTATGACATTCAAGGGGAACAGAGCTGGGAGCTCTGTGGCCATGGATAGGGTGGGTAAATTGGGGTGATCTTCGTCTGGGGCTGAGCCCTGGTCTCCTGATAAAATGGAAGCCATGAGGCCCATTTCTGAGGACACCATGAGCATAGATGAATTCACCCATCGAAAGTTGCCTCACATGGCCCTGAGCACGCTTGAAAATCTCAGTCCCTTTCCTTCTCTCTTACAGGGGATTCCACCACAGCCTCCAGAAGTGAGGCTGCATCAGCTCTTGCAGTATAACGTGCGGAGTGGTGAGCGGGTGGCTGGTCTACCACCTGGACTCTGCCTTGAGGAGACTCAGATCTGGGAGTGGCATTGCCCTGCAGATTAGGGATGGCGTCTGAAACAGAGGGCTTCAATCCTGGGTTCGTTGCCAACACAGCTCTAGGACCTTGGGTAGATGCTTCTGACTCCACTCAGGTGCAGCTAGCTAAATGAGGGCCCTTGGCTCGGTCCCAGCTGCAGTGCTGTCCAGTCTAAACACACTAACTACGAGAGAAATCCCCTGGCTGGCAGGCCCCCGGTGTGTGCTGCGTCTACATATTTTGCTAGTATTTCTATTTGGAACAGGGGGTGTTCTGGGAGTCATGTGCCCACAAGTTGTAGGAAGAGATGTGTGCATTAATAAAGATGATATTGGCTTTGTGAAATACCATTATAACCAGGCAGGGTTCTCACATTATTCTAATCAGTCCAGATAAGACCACTTAGCTCTTACTCAAGTACTGAAATCCCTTCCACAGAGAACAGGAGAAGCTGTTGTGGTTCATTAATTGCGACAAATACTATTATGAGAAGGGAAGGTGGGGTCTCTGGGAATTTTTTATCACTAATGCATAATTTTTATTTGGTGAAAACTTTATCTAACGAGAATCTTAAAAAATTTCTTAAACGGAGAGTAATATTTCCAATTATAATTTTATAATTAAGCAAAATGTCTATCAACGTCAGTGACCCATTGCCCTACTTGTGAACTGCAGAAACCGATAAACAATTTTAAACAGGCATCTTTTAGGGGAAAATATGTCCTCTTTCAGTCTCTAAATTGGTGGGAGCTATGTGACACACTACTTTAAACAATGCCCTTAGGATGCCCCCATCCCACATCAGGGTGTCTGGGTTGAAGTCTCAGCTCCAGTTCAAACCCCAGCTTCCTGCCCGGGGCACCCTTGGAGGCAGGAGGTGATGGCTCAAGTCCTCAAATCCCTGCCACCCACGTGAGGATCCAGACTGAGTTCCTGGCTCCTGACTTCAACTTGGCCAGCCTGGCCTGTTGGGAGCACCCAGGGGACCAATGGAGGGTGGGAGATCTCTCTCTTCCCCTCTTTCCAAGTGGGTGCTTGTACATGTGTGCGTGTGCGTGCATGTACTGTGTGAAAATAAAATCAATAAACAGCTTAAATCGTTGAATCTCCAAATGCTTGGGGAGGTTTCTTGGGGCCCCCATCTCCCACGTGAGCGCTCAGGGTATAGTCTCTTAGCCACTGCTGTGGTGTGACTGTGCCTCCTACAAAACACAGGGGCTGCCAGTGGGATGGTTTCCAGGGCAGGGAACTGTCAGAGGGATGAGGCCGTGAGGACAGGGGCCTGCCCGAGGGAGCCACTTCTCTTGCCCTTCTGCCTTCCAGCAGGCGAGGCCACAGCAAAGAAGGCCCAACCCTGCTCCCTCGATCTTGGCCTTGCCAGCTCCATAACTGTAAGAACTAGATGTCTGCTGAAACTGCCCGGTCTCAGGCATTCCGCTATGGAAGCACAAAGGGATTGCACTGGTCTTCATAGCCCTAGCCTCCACCCCTTCAGACTCACAAGGGTAAGGACAAGATGCACGAACGTGTGGTCTATGCAGGCTAAAGAGCAGGTTCCCTGGTGGGAAACGGAGGCCGGGAGCACTTTAATGTAGGGGAGAGTCAGCAGGGACGTCACACAACTGAATGCAACACTTGCCTTCCGCTCCCCACCACCTTCTGGCCGAGAGACCCAAAACTGACCGGCAGGGATCCACAGGTCTGTGATGGCAGAGTGAGCTCATGATGGTATGAAATGACGGATAATTTAGCTGTGGCTCATATGTTATGAGAACAGAAAATAGCCCTGAGAGTACTGGCTGGAGGACCGTGACCATGGACTCGTAAGAATCAATCCATCAAAACCGATTCCTTCAAATGAGGACCTCAACTCACAGAGCAGCAAACGAAACTGACACCTGCTTTGCTCGGATTCAGGGTCTGGCTCTAGCGAAGCGCATGTCTCCTCACCCCTGAGGGCTCAGCGTAGGAACGCACATCTGGCTGTTTCTTCTAGCTGCTCTCATGGCCCTGGGGGAGGTCTAGAACTTTTAGAATATAGCTTCAGGGAGAAATGTATGGGTACAGAAATCCAATTTCATCAGTGCTACAGGGAACAAAGGAGTCCACACCAAATTCTGGAGGAAAAGCCCAGGAACTAGAGACGGTGCCCTGTGTTATAAGACCAGCACTGTCTGCCCTTCCAACAGACACAGGACCATGCCCAGCCTCCTGCAAGCTAGGAGATGGGAGCACAGACGGTGTGAGAGTGGCTGTAGGCTGAACAGGGGCAGGCGCCATGGCACAGAGGGTGGGGGGTGGGAAGGGAGCAGAGGGCGGCTCCCCGGGCAGCGTTTCTGGAGGGCGGGGCTGCGGCACCTACCGGGCAGGCCGAGGTGCTCTGCTCCCACTGCGTCATGCTCAGGCTCTCCTCGAGACTTGTGCATTTCTTCATCGCCACGTCCCAGCCGCAGTAAGGATCCTGGGCCCCTATGCAGGTGCTGCAAACACACACTAAGGTCAGCTCAGCAGCAGGGTACAGGACGGCAAGGGGTGCGAGCCGGGCCAGCCTGTCCCCAAGAGTTGGCACGGGACCATCCATGAGTACTGCCGAGCCCTGGTTCAGGCTGCACATTGCAGAAAAGCATACCACATGTGCCTGAAAGCATCTAGTCAAAATGCAATTACTTGTTTGGGCTGAAATACCTGTATTTATGTATCACGCAGGAGAGATGACCGTACGTGCTAATGTGAACCTGTGTCATCAATTGACCTGAAGTCAGAATTCGGCAGTGCTCAATAGTAATACAGATGTTATCATTATCATCAACACCGCCATCATCCTTTTCATTCCCTGAACAGCAGGTGCATTAGCTGAGCACCCATTATAACATTAACTACGATACAAGACATGATCTGCCTTAGACACCCACACAACTGTCACTGACAGGTGTTCTGGTTGCACTATCTTTACCAGCCACACCACCACCATCAACATCGCCACTTTGAAAAGATCACTGAAGCCCAGAAAATTTGAGACACTGCCCCAAGAATAAGCACGTACATGCAAAGTAGTTCAAGGTGGTTTTCTCACATTCAATAAATTAACATCTTCCTTTTGAGTGCTGTAGCTTAAAATGTATTAGCATTTCCATTTAACAATCGTTTCCTATGGCTATGTCAATAACATCCAACATATCACATCAGGAGTATCGCAATAGTGGAGATTTTAATTTCCCTCTAAATGGAAGCATTCATACACAACATGGACATTATTAGGTGAAAGTTTGGGCTCTGCACTGCAAACGGAAGAAAAGGCCAATGTGGATGGGGGAAGGGGAAGAAGGAGCGATGACAGTGATGGAGCCGAGGAAGAAGAGGCCCCTGAACCACGGCACTGAGCATCCAGGAATGCTCAGAGGGGCCAAGGGGTCGGTGTGCGGGACGTGGACGTGAGGCAGTGGAGGCACCACCAGCTAGAGGTGGCAACACCCTCACCTCCCGCTGTGGGTGAGGGACAACGTGGCGCAGAGCCGCTCATCCCACCAAGAAGTGCGTTGAAATCTCAACAACCAACAGAGAACCCTAGGCAGGTGGTGTAAGAAAGAGTCCTTGATAGGAACCACAGGACCTTGACCGGTATTGTGTCATCCAAATCCCACAACACCCTCAGAGGTGTGGCTTCTCCATCAGTGTCTATGTTCTCCCCATGGTAGGGGAAGCAGGGAAGGGCCACCGTGAAGGCAGCCCAGCTACAGAAGATGCACTCCATTAGTATAAAATCAGGGTCACATATTCATTAAGAAACTCTAGTGGAAATGACTTTAAAAAGCTGCTTCTAGCAGACTCATAGAATGGCGGATGTCCTAAACAGCACTCTGACCTCAGAATCAGCCCTTAAGGCATTCAGCTCCATGATAGTATTTCAGGCATGGAAAGCCAAGAGACTGTAGAAAAAAAAACCCGAAATAACCTAAATGAAAGATCTCTGTGAGATTCCAGTGGGAAGAATGGGCCATCAAAGAAGGCAGTACCTTTCTTTGAAGGGAGCAGAGAACTTCCACTTTGACTATGGCCTTGTCTAAACAAGACTGGAGTTGGTGAACTCAAGAGGCTTCCACAGCCTTGGCAGCTCATGACAAGAGCCTCAGGTGATTACTGACGCCATAAACAAGAGTGTCAATTGTTAAATCAACAACGAGAGTCACTGTGCACCTGCTCCCCATGTAGGATCTCTGTCCTTAATGTGTTGTACTATGAGAATTAACGGTAAAACTACTACTCAGACAGTACTTTATACTTTGTGTATCTGTGTGGGTGCAAACTGTTGAAGTCTTTACTTAGTATATACTAAGTTGATCTTCTGTATATAAAGATAATTGAAAATGAATCTTGACTTAGAATGGGATGGGAGAGGGAGTGGGAGATGGGATGGTTGCGAGTGGGAGGGACGTTATGGGGGAAAAGCTGCTATAATTCAAAAGTTGTACTTTGTAAATTTATATTTATTAAATAAAAGTTAAAAAAGTAAAAAGCTGCTTCTTCCCTGCTGTTGAGGAACAGTGTGTGTTTTTTTTTCCCTTCAAAGTATTTGTTGAACTTTTACTTACTGTAGGGTCAGCTTTAGGATCATTAAGTAAACTGGAAGTAGATCTCTGTAAAAATTCAGAGTGGAAACAGGAGAGGGAAGAGGAACAAGGGCTGCAGCATGGGCGGGCAGGCGGGAGGGGAGGGTAGGAAGCACCACTGTGCTCCTAAATAAAATTTTTAAAAAAGCAGCTTCTGAGTTGGAGGGCGGGGTTGGGTGCGAGGAGGTGCACACGACTGCTCCCCACGATCGCCTCACACGGGACCAATGGGCACATTTTGCTTTACTTCTTACATTCAGACACGGGCGCTAGTAACGGCAACGTGACAGCGTTTCCTGTTTCCTATCTTCTCTGCAGTAATTCCACTGTGACTGGGCACATTCAATGCTCCAGGCTTACTCTACATACTGACAATATTTCACCACATATTCTTATCAATAAATGGAGCTCTACCCTATTCCCTGATACGCTTTCCAAAATTTATTTGAAAGACATAGAGACAGGGACACAAAGAATGAGCTCCAATCTACTGGTTCACTTCCAAATGTCCACAGTAGTCAAGGCTGGGCTGGAGCCAAAATGCTGGGAGCTGAGCACCCAATTGGGGTATTCCATGTCGACGGTGGGTACCCAATTACTTGAGACATAAGCACTGCCACCCAGAGTGAGCATTAGCAGGAGGCTGGAGTCAGGCACTAGAAGTAGGAATCAAGCCCAGGTTCTCTAATACAGGACCAATGTGCTGTCCACCTCCCTATTCTTTTTACTATCTGTACACTACCCCAATTCCTTGATGAATCCACACACATTTAACACTTCCTTAAAAATATTTTTTTGAAAGGCAGAGTAAGAGAGAGGGAGAGAGGGAGAGGGGGAAGAAGGGAAGGAAGAAGGAGGAGATGACCCAAGTCCCTGGACCCCTGCACCTATGTGAGAGACCCGGATGAAGCTCTTGGCCTTGGCTTCGGCATGGCCCAGCCCTGGCTGTTGAGGCCATCTGGGGAGTGACCCAGTGGATGGAAAACTGTCTTTCTGTTTCTCTGTATCTCCTGCTCGCTGCAGCTCTGCCTTTCAAATAAAATAAATAAATCTTTAAAAACATTTTTAAAAAAGTTAAAAAAGGAAGATTCTCCTGGCTTGACGACTTACAGAAACCATTGTCCCTGACTCCTGATTCTTCTATGGCATCATTTTGTCTGCCTCCCTGTCTCTGGTCCATCTGAACTGTATTTCTGCAATTCACCTTCCCCTTCCTCAGAAAACACAGCACACACACACACACACACACACACACGGTCTTCAACGCATCTGTGAAAATGCAGGGATGAAAATATTATGCATGAATTTGAAAAACTGCACCAAAATGAACTTGCTTTTTAATTCCACTGCCCACAAACTTTCTGATGCTGCCCTGTACATATCTGACAGCCCAAAGTCCTCAAGCCAACATCACCAGACCCCGGTGTTAGGAGAGGAACAGTCATGCTTCCTGTTATCTATCGCATTCAGATAACAACATCCTTTTCAAATACAAGTTTGCAGCTGAGTGTCAGCATTGGCCTTGCAGTTCTGTACATAAACATATCTAAAATGTGTCAATTTTAACACACGCAATTTATTTGATATCTTTTTTGTTGGAGGGTGTGTGCAGCGGCTGGGAGAGAGGAGAATAAACCATCGCAACTGGACGCCACCCGAGGCCATGCAGACTCTGCGTGTCTGTGCCTACGAAATACGGCCAGGGCTTCTCCCTAGCTCTGCAGGTACAAAGCCGATCCACAGGAAAATACCCACAAGACTTCTCTAGAAATCTAGGGACTCTGCAAGTGTAACTTATGAGACTGAGCTGGGTGGGGACTCGGCTTTGTGCCTCCTGCTGGGTTCTTACTTGCTGTGACAGAGTGAGATGGGCCCTGTGAGTGTCCCCAGGAAACTCGCCGGAAGCCCCACAATACTGTCTGCAGTGCAAGGCGAGCCACCGCGCCACGGCTGCTCAACAGAGCTGCACGGTGCACACAGCAGTAATCCCCACCCTGGTCCTCCTTCCGTCTTCTGGGGACACAGAGAAAAGCTGCACTTACGCAGTCATTCAAGGGCCTGCACTCCTTTCCCTGTTTCTTATTAAAGCAACCCAACCATGCTGTAAGATTAAACTTGCACAAAAGTGACCGCTCCACACACATGTGGACGTTCTGGGGGACTCCCGCTGTGCAGCAGCCTGGAGACTGAAACAATGCCGCTGTGCTGAAGGGAAGTATGCGGAGCCCTTGCAAATGAAAGCTGCCTGTGATACCATCTGTCTTCCGTTAACATGGATAGTTCTTAGGCTAATCCTCCGCCTGGCGGCGCCGGCACACCGGGTTCTAGTCCCCGTCAGGGCGCCGGATTCTGTCCCGGTTGCCCCTCTTCCAGGCCAGCTCTCTGCTGTGGCCCGGGAGTGCAGTGGAGGATGGCCCAAGTGCTTGGGCCCTACACCCCATGGGAGACCAGGAGAAGCACCTGGCTCCTGGCTCCTGCCATCGGATCAGCGCGGTGCGCCGGCCGCAGCGCACCGGCCACGGCGGCCATTGGCGGGTGAACCAATGGCAAAGGAAGACCTTTATCTCTGTCTCTCTCTCTCTCACTGTCCACTCTGCCTGTCAAAAAAAAAAAAAAAACATGGATAGTTCTGTGCATTCGCAACACTGCACTTATCCCTCAAATTTACAAACACCCCCATACAGACACACATGCCCATTCACCAGAAATACCATGCATCTGTAATTTCCTCCTGTAAAATGCCGTACATCCTGGGGAAATTTCTGGGGTGCTCCTCTTTGTGCCAAGCTACACTTTAAGGAAACCATCGGTACAGGTTGTTATTTTTCGAAGTGGGTCTCTTAGCCGGCTTTCTGACAAACACAGCTATGGTG